AAGTCTGCTACAGGCGTGATCATCCAGGACCGAGCGCAGCAGACGGACCGCTGGGTGCAGCACTGCTCTGAGCTATATTCCAGAGAGAATGCAGTAACTGAAAAGGCACTAAATAACATCGAGTGCCTGCCTGTCTTGGAAAAGTTGGACAGCGAACCATCTTTAGCAGAAATAAAAGTGGCCTTGGATTCTCTCGCCTCCAGCAAGGCACCTGGGAAGGATAACATCCCTGCTGAAGTGCTGTAAAGAGATCATCACCACTGAGCTGTACGAAATCTTTTGTTTTTGCTGGAGGGAAGGACATGAGTACCACAGGACATGAAGGATGCAAACATTGTCACGTTGTACAAGAAAAAGGGAGACAGGCAACTCTCTTCTCAGCGTTGTAGGGAAGCTGTTTGCCTGTGTTGTGCTGAAGAGACTCCAGGTGCTTGTAGATAGAATCTATCCAGAATCACAGTGTGGATTTCAAGCTAATAGATCTGTCATAGAGTTGAAGCAGTGTGGGATATATAGTCAGAGAAATGTAGGATGGAGTCAGACAGGTTCTGTGTGAAGATGATTTTAGAGACATTGGAATATTTTTTTTTCTAAGTGCTATGAGAGGTTTTTTCTGAAGACCAGTACGGCATGGTTTGAGATAAAGCTGAAGGTCGGACCAAGGAGCCCATGAAAGACTCAACATTCTGAGCTAATTGGAGAAGAGATAAAACACCTGGATCTTCATGGAAATTGAGGGCAGAGGAAGACATTACAGCCCCTTGAAGCTAATTGGTTGACAGCCATGAAGGGTCAAGAAGAAGGAGGTCTAAGAAATGTAGAAAATGGACGATGGTTATTTGGGAGACGTTCGATTCCATGATGATGGGAGAGAAAAATAACTTTATGGTTTGAGTATGTGGCTTGAAGGAGAAAGAATGTAAGTAAAGAGAAAGAAGGAGGTGGGGCTACCCCACCTTAGCCCAGCTTAGTACTGTTTATTATTTTAATGGGGATTAGTTATTTTATTTAACTGTAATGATCTTTGCATATGTTATTTATGTTAAAGCTTGAGCAATATAAACTGATTCTATGAAACTCTATTTTTCTAATACAAAATAATTATACAAATTATTACAAAATGGTTTGTCTCTTGAACAGCGGGGCCTGGCTAAATCCAGGGAGTGGAGAGGGCCACAATCTTTAAGAGTCCTACCTGACTGAGCTGTTATGAATTCTAAGGCAGTGGTCCCCAACCTTGGGCCTCCAGATGTTCTTGGATTACAGCTCCCAGAAGCCTTCGCCACCACCTCTGCTGGTCAAGATTTCTGGGAGTTGAAGTCCAAGAATATCTGGAGGCCCAAGGCTGGGGATCACTGTTCTAAGGAATTACAACACCCATGTGGCAGTATTGGGTAAAAGTAAAGGGTTCTTTAAAGGAGCTTACACTACACAATGCTGATTAACAAGCTAAGGGTATGGGTTAGATAGACCAACTGTCAGGTTGCAGAATACAGCTGGTTACAGAATTATACTCGGAGAGGGTTTATCAATGGCTCCTTCTCAAACTGGCTACAGGAAGCCAGATTTAGGCTGAATTTCAGGAAAAAAAAACATCTTGACTATTAGAGACTATTAACAATGGAACCCATAACCTTGGGAGTTGGCGAGTGCTCCAAGGCTGCAGGCATTCAAGAAAAAATTGAACAAATATCTCTCAGATCTGCTTTGATTTGGATCCTTGCCTTGAACAGAGGGTTGGACACAGTGGCCTTATAGGCCCCTTCCAACACCCTTATTCTATGATTCAGAACAATTACTTTGGTCCAGCTAACACCTATACTCTCCTTTTCCTAAGAACCTTTCATACACCTACCTCCAAAAAACACCCCTGCCTGATACACATTTAAACTGATTCACACACCTTCAATAGTATGTTTATTGCAGTTGTAGCATCTTTGAAACTGTGTAGTGTACAGAATTCTTCTATAATTCCGGAGTTGTAATTTATTCCTGATAACTATTAGTAGTTGAGTGGTGTAGAATGCCATTACTCTCAAGCTTCCCTAGTAACAGACTACTACTCCCCTCTCAACCCAAGGGGCCATTTATCAGCTCCTGCAATCACAGATGCATAAGAAGATTCCTAGCTGCAGTGAGTGGAGGAGAAGGGGCAAAAGCAAGCAAGGCAAAAAGTCAGAGCAACCAACTCTTGTTGAGGTAGGAAGAATGCTTTTGCCTTAAGCAAAGTGGCAACTTTGGAAGACACTTTGGAAGAGCCTTGATGGGTGGAGCTTCCAGAAATGTTTTGAATGCAAAAGTCTTTGTATCCTTTTTGCAAACATACCAGTAAAATCTGTTTTTCCCCGGGTTTTTTTTAAAAAAGCAGGACAGACATCTGTACCCACCCACACAGCACCTTTATTTTCCTTACACAGATATATAGCCTTCAATTTGGTAATACATGGAGGGGATGTTGATAGGAGTAAACAAGTAGGTTGGAGGGCCGCACAGAAAGAGCTCAGGGGGCACAAGTGACTTCTAGATGATGTTGGATGCATGAGGTAATAAATGTAGTCTATTGTGTATTGCATTAAAAAAGTTGTGACATCATCAACACAGGCACATTTCTTATGGCATAACCATTCATAGACAAGTCCATGTCATCACATGTTGGTATGTGCTGTCAAGTCACCTCCAACTTATAGTGACCCTAAGAACGATTGACTTTCCAAATGTCCTGTCCTGTTAATTCTGCTCTTGTAAAATCTGAGCTGTGGACTCTTTTATAGAGTCAATCCGTCTCTTACTTGGACTTTCTCTTCTTCTGTTGTGCTCAACTTTCTGTAACATTATTATATTTCCCACCACGTCTTGCTTTCTAATGATGCGTCCAAAGTAGGATAGCCGAAATTTAATCATTTTAGATTTTGGAGAGAGTTCATGCTTGATTTGACCTAGAACCAATGCATTTCACCATCGGCATGAAGTAAAACAAATGCATGGAAGAGAAAATAAAACAAGTAATCCGGATATTGTTTTGGTGTAATTCTGCCTTATTCCTCGGAACCCTTGAAGCGCATCCGCAATTTCTGTCCGGGCAGCTATTGAGGCTGCTACCGGTAGCCGGAAATTAATGGTTTCATCCGGTTCGGTGGTCTCTTTCCTCTTGGGTTGCTTTCCGACTCTTTCCCGTGGGAGAAAGTGCGGTGGAGGGAGAGCTTTTCGGCTGCCGGTGGCTCACGGAGGTGGCCCGGGGGGAGATTCGAGGACGGCGGAAGGAAAGAGAGGTGGCCGGGAAAGGCCCGTGGGAGGAGGAGGAGGAGGAGGAGGAACTGAGGGCGCCGCGGGCCATGACAGGCGGGGAGGGCTACGCGCCTCTCCATCGGTGGGCCTTGGCGGAGAAGGGAGAGAAACGGCGGCGGCGGCGGCATCATCACCCTTGGGCTTCGGCTCTGGAGTTTAAGGAAGGCCGCAGAGCCCAGGAGGCCGCAGGAGGGGAAGAGAAGGAGGACCTTCTTGGGCAGCTCATCCAGGACTTGGTATTTTTTTAGTTTTATTTTCATCATTATTTCTATTTGTTTAAAATATTACTATTTAATTACTTGAAATGTTAATATTACACATTTCTCCTCAAGAGAACCCAGGGCTTACAATATTAAAAACAAACAATATTGAAAACTGGATGGGGAGAGGAAAACAAACAAATACGCACACACACAAAAACAAATAAAGAAACATCAGCTGTACTTGTAGGCATCCAGCCCCTGAGAAAAAAAATGCGCCTGAGGGGGGCCAGCCGGGCCTCTCACGAGAGAGGGTTCTACAGTTGTTCATAATTACAGTTCTTCCTGCCAGCTCTCCCCCTGCCCACTGTACCCTCACAATGACCCTGGTTTCTCTTCAGATCGTATAAATCTTTCGCCCTTTACAATGACCCTTCAAGGTAGGTTAAGCTCAAGGTTGCCTAATGGCCAAAATCCTGTTGCAGCAAATCACACTAGAGTAGGCCTGTTGAATCAAGGGGGGGGGGGTCGGTAAGTGAACTCCTCCAGAAGTTCCATTAATTCAAATTGGTCAACACTAATTGGGACTTACTATTGTAAATAAGTTGCGGTTAGACTAGGCCCAGTTGTTGACTCAATGGAACTTACAGAGGAGTTGACTCACCAAACTTCCATTGATTCAGTGGTCTTCTCTAGTACAACTTATAATGTTAAACAATAGGATTTTGGCCACAGTGTTTAGTAGCCCAGTGTGGACTCGAGCCAGATCTCCCAACTCCTACTGTTCAAACATTTGCACCACTCTAGCTTGACATGGAAAAATCAGAATAAATTGTGTTTAGCATTAGCTTGTTTTCTTGTGCTGCACAGCATGCACAGTCTATTGGTTATGAGTGGAGGTACCTCTTTTGTGTACAGATGGTCTTGGCTTCAATCCTTGACATCACGATGCACAGGATGCACCTTCTATTATGAGTGGAGTACCTCTTTTGTGTACGGATGGTCTTGGCTTCAATCCTTGACATCACTCAGTATTAGTTAGTGCATGGCCACCGGTTTGAAATCCTGGAGCGTGAAGCAATATAGACCAGCCGTCCCTACACAGGCACCTTCCAAATGTGTTAGATTACAGCTCCTGCCATTGTGTCACTAGCATGGGCTGTAGATGATAGGAGTTGTAGTCCAAGAAGGACAGCAGCAAGTATGAAATTGTTTCTGTAGTTTCCCATGAAAGTAAAGTGATGCTTAAGATTTTACAAAAGGGACTTTTACCATAAATAGTCTTGAATTCAATTAAAATATTATGTTGGTATAACTCCGTTAGGCTATATTTCCACTGTGTATTGCTGTAGGTTAAGTCAGCCAAGACATGTGCCTCTGTGTAGTTAGTCATACGACTGCTGTGCAACAGCAAATATTATGCTGACTTCTTATCTTGTGGTTCTGGCCATAAAGCCAGATATTTAAGTTGTACTTAGAAAATGAAGAGACATTAAAATTGTATTGCAAATGTACACTGACTGCTGAAGGATACCAAAGAATTCCAGAAGCAAATGAGTTTGTTTTATGAACTATTTATTTAGCTATTTAATCAGTGTATATACAGCCCCATTAGTGCAAGTGGCCCATTCAACTATTGTGTAAACCTGAATGGTTTACACAAGGTTAAAACTCACAAACCCACAATATGCCTCAATAACAAATAGGCAATTTAAAAAATACACTGATGCAACAGATAGTATTTAAACAATGCATACGAATAACCCAATAAAAATTCTAAAATTGATTTAAAACATTTTAAAAGGCAGCTTTAAATAATTCAGTCTTTGTCGTCTTTTAGAACATAAGGAGGAAAAGGCCTGGCATATCTCTGTCAGCATTTTATTCCAGAGACTAGGGGCCACAATCAAAATGGCACAATTCTTCATATTCATCTTTTTGACCTGCCTCGGTATAGCAGCTGCTAACATCATAGATTGAGAGGAGCAGGTAGTGCGACTAGCAGATTTCTGACAGACATATTCCAACAAGTACATTGATTTCCTAAACCATTAAGGCAGCTTGAATTGAGCATGGAAATTGTCAAGGAGCCAATGAAGGTACACCAACACTGGAAATGTGATCAAATTTACTAGTCTTAATAATCAGTCTGGCTACTGTATTGTGGACCTGCTGAATTTCTGATGATGTTTTCATGGGCAGTCTTATGTACAGTATTCTATTTTTGAGATTATTACCAGTACATGAAATTTGTGAGGTTGTGAACAACTTGAAAGAGTTCTGTCCATTGATTGGAGGCTGCATTGGTTAATTGGGTATTAAAGCCTTTTTTGTAGCCTTGAGTAAATTATAATTTGCCAGACATCTCCCTGACCACAGCCAGTTTGCATACTGTGGGAGCTTTATTTTATCTGCTCTATATCTGTCTTGTAATTGCTTCATCATCCTCAAAGCTTTTCGTGAACTGTGGAGAAGATTGAGTTTTGTGTGAAAAGGGAATTTAAGAGTGATTGTGTCAGCTGACCAGGTCACCTCTGAATACATTAAAATCCTTGACTTTTTAGATCAGGAAAAGCTGTGGATATTTGAAAGAACTGCCAAAATACCTTATTGCCTGTTATGTAAGCTCTACGTTTCCAAACATTTTCCAAAGACAGCCCCACAGAGAGTGTGTTACAGTAATCCAGCCATGCTATAACTGAGGCATGTGTCATGGGTGGCCAGATCAGATATCTCCAGGAATGGACGCAGATGGCACACCAGTTTTAACTGTACAAATGTACTCCTGACTACTACATCTGGGCATCGAGGCTCAGGGGTTAATCCAGGAGCACAAGATGCTCCTGCATTTGCAGGGGGAGTGCAGCCCTATCTAGCACAGGTTAGATCTCTATTCCTTTTTGACTTATCAGGAGCACCTCTGTCTTGTATGGATTAAGTTTCAGTTTGTTATCCCTCATCCACTCCATTACTGATAACAGGCACTAGTCTAGGCACAGAACAGTTTCCTTGGAATCAGATGGGGAAAGCAGAGTTGGGTCCACATACTTGTATCACCTAAACTGCAAATTCTGGGCAACCTCTCCCAGCGGTTTCATGTAAATGTTAAATAGCATGGGGGACAAAACAGAACCCTAAGGTGCAGCACAGGCCAACAGCAAGGGTATTGAACAAGAGTCTCCCAAATGTGACCTTCTGAGTTCTCTCCTCAGGAAGAACTGGAGCCACTGTAAAAAAAGTGCCACCATCCCACCCCAGAGAGATGGCCCAGGAGGATACCATGGTCAATAATATCAAATACTGCTGAGAAGTCCAGCAGAATCAGCAGAGACACAACCCTCCCATTCAGTTTCTGCATAAGTCATTCACCAAGGCAACCAAAGCAGTCTCTGTCTCATAAGCAAGCCTGAAGCCAGATTGAAATGGATAATCTGTCTCCTCCAAAACTTTGTGAATCCACAACCTTGCTGAAGAATGAAACATTGGTTTCAATACCATGTCATCCATACAGGGCTTTTTCAATAATGTAAAAATGTTGGCTAGTTTAAGCATACTGGGATCTTACCTTGCTTCATGGAGGCATTCCTACCCACTTGACCAGTCCCTTTCTGACAGCTTTTATAAGCCATGAAAGATAAGGGCTCAGCAGATGTTTGGTTGGCTTCATGTATCCAAGGATTATGTCTGCAAAAACTGAAACCTGTCCATTGACACAGGTGGGTCAATAATATCAAATACTGCTGAAAGGTTCAGCAGAATCAGCAGAGACAGAATCCTCCCATTCAGTTTCTGCATAAGTCATCCACCAAGGCAACCAAAGCAAGTTAGAGTGAATCAGAATCATTTTTTATGCAAAGATATGCAGAGGGAACTAGATTATTGGCAGACAATAGTGACCCCAAGCAAGTGATGAAAATGAAAGAAGAAAATGCATTTAAGTAGTTAAAATAGTAATGCTAGCTGTAGTTGCATTTCTCTGACTTAATTATTGGAGAAATGCCTGAAATAGCTTATATTCCACCACAACTACTTATCTCACCAGTGGAGGGAAACTAGATATATCTAGACCAAATTAGAACACGGTTGTTGGAAAAGGAAGGTAGGTGGAGTTAATATCAACTTCCAGCTTGGGTCAGCCACATTTAGGTGTTTTACGTGCTTGTGTGTCAGGTGGAGGACCACCAGAGTGGAGAATGATGGCATTTGTAGTAAACAAAACAAAACAAAATCAGTATGAACAAAACACCAATCGCATACCCCCATCATTACTCATATTTGTGTGTCCTAAGAAGTTGGAAACTCTTACAATATTTGTCTTATAGTTAGTGTCTGAAATCTTACAGTTTACACATTTGTAAGAAGAAACATGTTCCTTACACATTTCTTTCTTTTTTTTTCTACAAATTAAATTTCTGATGGTAGTAAATTAATCCATTAACTAATAGATAAATGTATGTCTTCAAGGAGTAGGTGTCCGTTTTTATATTTTTGATTATCTCCAGCAGGTGTTCTAAGAAATTCTGGAACTAATTTATAAAGATAGGTTTAGATTTTTTATTTTTGCTTTGAGGTATTGCAGTTGATTATATGGGATTTGGAACAATGCATAAAAGTAAATCCAGATCCTTTGTATTTGGCAGGTCAGAATGTTTCACTTTATAGCCTTTTCTGGGGCAGGATGGTTTTCAGTAGAACCATTTTAAAATTAGTTGAGCCACTTTTTCTTTTGCATTCAGCAATTTAATTTTTTGTTTTTGCATTACATCTTAGAGAAATAACTGTGATGATGACAACTGTGTGTCTGTTGCGAGTCTGCATGCTTCACATATATGTAAGCAGGGCAGAAATAATGAAACCAAATTTATTTGAATCATAATTTCAGTCATAACGTAAACCACTATGCAGAAAGTCTTAATGTACTCATGTGCTTTCACCCCCAAAAGTGCACTCTTACGTATAATAACCTTAATACATATTTTTCAAAATAGATGTTTTCTTACAATTTCCTTGCCCAGTTTTATATCATTTCTATAATC